TTTTAGATTTCCAGCAAAACTGAGAGGAAGGTACAAGGATTTCTCACATACCCTCTGCCCCACACTCCCCACTGTCAGCATTCCCCACAGAGTGGTGCGTGTGTTGCAATGCGTGAACTCACGTTGACACACCATTATCACCCAAGGTCCATAGCTTACATGAGGGTTTGCTCTTGGTGGTGTACATTCTCTGGGTTTGGACAAATGTATGGTGACATGTGCCCACCATTATCGTGTCATGCAGAGTATTTCCACTGCCCTAAAAATCCTCCGTGCTCCCCCACTCATCCCCCTCCCCCTAGTCTTGCCTGTTTCTGTTGGGTTTAGTCCAAGGCCCAGCAGGGGGAGTGGGCAGAAGTTTCCAGTTCCAGGCTGCACCCCAAGCTCAGAGCTTCTAGCACAGCCTGTCTCTTGGGCTCCCTCCTGCCTGCAGTTCAAACCACTGCTTCCAATCGCCTGTCTCCTATCTTCATGTCCTTCCTGCTACTCATCTACTCATCGTCATTTTCTTCTTTTTTTTAAATGGATAATTGCTCATATTCAGCATCTTCACTTTTGGATGCAGATTCCCCTTTATTGCTTTTTAACTTAAACTTTCTTGTGAAAAACATATTTTGCCTAACATATTTCTTTTGACTAATTTCTGTAAGGGCCATATCGTTACTAAGCAGTGACGTGCTCACGTTAGGGGAAACACATAAAGTCAGCTATACTGAGAGGACAGTATGTTCATGTCTTCATCTCATGTTTATTCTGTGGCTCAGGCCTGTGCAGGAGATGAATATTTGTCCATACCATTTAGGATAGATAAGTACGTTTGTTTTATATTATGTGTACTTGCATGTATATATGTATTTACATTTACACATTGGGCTGGGTACGGTGGCTCACACCTGTAATCCTAGTACTCTGGGAGGCCGAGGCGGGAGGATCACTTGAGCTCAGGAGTTTGAGACCAGCCTGAGCAAAGAGTGAGACCCCGTCTCTACTAAAAATAGAAAAAATTAGCCAGGCATGGTGGCGCATGCCTGTAGTCCCAGCTACTAGGGAGGCTGAGGCAGAAGGATCGCTTGAGCCGAGGAGTTTGAGGTTGCAGCGAGCTATGATGATGCCACTGCACTCTACTTGGGGTGACAGAGTGAAAACTCTGTCTCAAAAAAATAAAAAATCAATAAATACACTTACACATAATTGTATTTGTGTAAGTTAAATGCTTCTGTTACGTATCTCCGCTGTATTAAGGTGAGTCGTAGCCTACTTGAAATAGATCATCCTAGGTGAATACACTTAGGCATAATTATCAGCCCCTTTAAGCACAG